GGATTTCGGTGTCACATTTTCCAGTGTTTCTTCAATATGTCAAAAATTTGACCCAATAAAACACAGAAGTGTCCTAGTGAATTATTATTACGTGGCTCCTATTGGTCTGGTGAGACCGATAATCTGGCAGGCTTCTGGAATCAAGCAGTAGTGTCCCTCTCACTTTTTCTCTCTCTCTTTAACTATTACATATATATATATATATATATATATATATATATATATATATATATATATATATATATATATACCTAAAGAAAGACTAACCTACCTAGGTTTCACCTACGCGGATCGTTCGCCCTGACGATCCGCGTAGGTGAAACCGAGGTAGGTTAGTCTGGCTCTTTAGGTTATTTACTTATTTTGCTCTACTTAGCGTATTGATCACTTTGTTTAGTTATTTTACTTTACGGAGTTTTTTTTCTTTGGACTCTGAACTTTTATTCTAAACGATTATTTTCGCTGTCCTTACTTCTTTCTTGTTTTTTACCTTTTTTTCTCTTGGGTATTAGTTTGTTCATTCACAAGCTAAAACACCTAAGGTTTTGCCGGACGAGTATAGCTGCTTACATTTAAAAGTTTATTAGTGTTATATATATATATATATATATATATATATATATATATATATATATATATATATATATATACAGAGAGATAGAGAGAGAGAGAGAGAGATTCATGTTAAAAAGATAAAAAAATAAAAAAAACAAATGAAAACGACAGACAAAAGTTCATTTTCTCCATCAAGACATTCATTTCTGTAGTTCACTGCTACCAGCAAGCAGAAATATTTCTTCTCCTGATGATGGCCATTTTGGCCGAAACTAGTCGAGGAATCTAAATGAAATAATAAAAAAAACAAAAACGAACAAATATTAATTTACAACCCAGTGTGTCTGAAGATTTTAATTTTTTAATATTTTTATTGTTCAATATATATATATATATATATATATATATATATATATATATATATATATATAATGGGAATTTTTAACAATTTTAACAGTGTCCGAGATAACATCAACATATAAGTTGTCCAGAAGTTAAATAACATTTCTCCTATACGGCCTCAGGATTATAGTTTCGACCTGGTTATACAGGATAAAAAGCAGGAAACATAACATACACTACTAATATATTCTAATATAAAAATGAAACTCTGATTTTCAGTGGATAAGTATTTGAATTCTTTTTTTTATATCTTCTTCTGAACATTTGATGACAACAGCTATTTTATTTTAGTTTAGATTCGTAGAAAGATTCAGTTATCCAAAATTAAATAAAAACAAATTAGAATAAAAAGACTGTGTAGCAACATAAAGAGAAAAGAATACCTTACTGAAAAGCAAAGCATAAATTCTTAGATCCTTAGTGAAACCAGTCTACGTCGATAGATAAATAATTAAACGTAGAAGATTTGTGAGAAACGAAAGGCAAGATTAGAAACTATGAAAGCCAATAGAACTGGTTTTATCATAAAAGAAATTCAAGAAGTGTATGATTATTGACAAAGCAGTGCTATCTGAGAGAAACACCCCCCCTCCCTCCTTCTTATATTTACATATGCTCAATCTCTCATATTTTACACAGAAATATAGCATTACTTAAATTTATATTTTTATCATATATATATATATATATATATATATATATATATATATAAGGACACTGAAGTCAGTACCCAGTGGCGACAGTCTTTTCAAGAGTGAACGCAATCTTCTAGCCTGATGAATGTGTTCAAGCATGAAACAGACTGTTGCTGGTCGGTGTTCACCCTAACTCCACTTTTATGTTTGCATACGCTCTATCCCTGATATTGAGCACTTTAACCCCATACATATAGCATGCCATTTTTATCATATATATATATATATATATATATATATATATATATATATATATATATATATATGTATGTGTGTGTGTGTGTGTGTGTGTGTGTGTGTGTGTGCATCGAATAGAAGGGAACCTCTTTTATTCCGGATGGAATCACGATCAAGTATTTGAATGCCACGTGATTTTCCAGACTAATTCACCGGTCGGTCACAGGTAGCTTAATATAATTTTCTCACAATCTCTGATGCTATAGAGATATGAGAGTTGCATAATTAATGGCTCTGAAGTGTATTATTGAATTATTATTACGTGGCTCCTATTGGTCTGGTGAAACCGATAATCCGGCATGCTTCTGGACTCAATCCGTAGTGTACCTCTCACTCTCTCTTCCTCTCTCCTTCACTCACTCACTCACTCACTCACTCACTCACTCACTCACTCACTCTCTCTCTCTCCCTCTTTCTTTCTCTTTCTCTCTCTCTCTCTCTACACACACACACACACACACACACACACACACACACACACACACATATATATATATATATATATATATATATAAAACATTAGGCAGCATAATGTTTTATGTTTATAAAAAACTATCGATCCGCAGTACAAAAAAATTCCTATATAAAAAAAAATTTCTACTAAGACATAACACTATATTAATTGAACTATATACTTAGTTCATGACATATTAACTGAAAACACTTGTAAAATAGAATACGTTGATTTACCACATCACAAGAAAAGTTCAAATAAAATTCTCACTTAAAATTTTGAAAAACTTAGCGTTGCGTCTTTGCACGTTCCGAGATTGTACACAACCGTCAATAATAGCACATTCTCAAAAAAAAAAAAAAAAAAAACATCTTTCTGTCTACAAACAATTATTTCGTCTTCAAGTTTTTGATTTTATAAGGAAAACATATGCCTGACAATAAATAAAGGATTATTCGAAAGTACTTGCATTTTAAAAAAATATAAACTGGAAACAACAGCCAACAGTTTTATAGATGAGGATCACGTCACTCTATGGATTAACAGTATTTTAATGCATACATTATACACTACTAGCGATGGATGTCGCTAATAATACCATTAATATTACTGATTGATTCTATGTGTAATTATTTCTTTGTATATACACACACACACACACACACACACACACACACATATATATATATATATATATATATATATATATATATATATATATATATATATATATATATATATATAGAGAGAGAGAGAGAGAGAGAGAGATTAATAGGATGTGGGGAATGAAGACTGAGACTGTAGTAATCAGAGCACTGGGCCTCGTGAGAAAATGAAGGAACAACTTTACTAACAGTGTCCTAGGTAACATCAACATACAAGTTGCCCAGAAGATCACCCTACAAGGAAAACCCCATATACTAAGAAAAGTGCTATCAATTAAATGAAACTTCTCCTATAGTTTGGACCCGGCTCTACAGGATACAAAGCAGGAATCATAACATACAGAAATAATAATAATAATAATAATAATAATATTGCCACCAAGTAACAAAAACATCTCTGTCAAGATTTTTGAAAAATGAAACAAATACAAAGTCCTGGAGATGGAAACAGAAAAAAATGTATGGCTTAAAACCTAAAACTGTTGCGGCTGGTGCTTTGGGCCTGATGAAGAAAGGAACTCAAGAAGAAATTAAAGTATTTCTAGTGCACTATCTTTTCAGAACCCCACCCCTCACCCCAAATATTTCTAATATATCCTGTGAAGTGCTTTTTCCATTTAAGTTTATTTTTTAATTATTTGTTTTGTTTAATTGAATGGAAACAACAACAAATTCCACCTTTCGCTTGCCCGCTTGCTTGGGGTGAATTACCTTTATATATATATATATATATATATATATATATATATATATGTTTGTACGGGAGTGTGTGTGCGTGTGTGAGTGTGTGTGCATATGTGTGTGTAGATAAACAATTCTTTCACATATTTGTTTATCATTTCCATTCGTTCTCACAGCATGAAATAATTCACAAGGTTGTCTTCCAAAACCCAAGCGTCAAATCCACACACGCTTTTGTTTTTTGCATGTCTGTTGACTAAAGGGTTTCCACGTTCTAGATTTCTAAAGAAATTCTTCGTAAGAATATTCCTACGTTACTTCCCCACCCACCCTTCAAGTTGTCGTGTTCACGCGCGCGCGCACACACACACACACACACACACACACACACACACACACACAAGAGTAAGTTTTATCGAAATTTAAAATTGTTTGATGTAACATATACGTATTTCTACACATGCACACGACAATGTGTCAATAACATTGCCTCTTGCCACAGACATTATTATTAGGAAAAATGCGAATTTTAAGTGCAAAGAACTTTACAAGTTTCTTTGAATAAATAAGGACTTTAAAAATAACTCTTTAACAACAGTTTAAAATTTTTATAAAAATTAAAAAACAAACGAAAAAACAGTCAACTTGAGAATTTGTTGAATGAAATATTTAAACACAAAAAAATAATTGAACTTCGGAAATTACAGTGAATATCGGAGAACTTGTCACGATAAGAAAAGCTATTTGGAGTAGCGATATGCAAATTTCACTTCTTAAATAACAAGGGTTTCTTCATGAGATAAAAATGAGCTGGAAGTAGAAAAGTCATGGAACTTTCATTGATGACTTTCTTCCGTACATAGAGCTACACTTAGCAAAAAAATGTAGGAAATTCCTTAATTTTAAACAACTGCACTAGAGCTAATTTTTAAAGCCGAAATAAGATATCAACGATAAATTGAAATAAGAAAGGAAAATACATGATCGTCCTTTTTTATTTTTATTTTCTTATTATTTTTTTTTTGCTGGCCTTTTTCTTTCTTTTTTTGTCGCTTTTCTTTTGCTAGCATTTTTTGCTGAATTTTTGCAGGCTATTTTCTTTTTTGTTGGCTTTTTACTTTTTGCTGGGGTTTTCTTATTTTTACTTGCTGGCTTTTTTCTATTTTTGCTGGTTTTTTGCCGGTTTTTTTGCTGGATTTTTTCTTTTTTTACTTACATTTTGCTTTTTTGCTGAATTTTTGCTGAATTTTTTTGTTTTTGCTGGCCTTTTTGTTGGCTTTTTTGTCGATATTTTTCTTTTTCAATTTTTTGATGAAAAGGAGAGTAATCTTTTTTTTTAATGTTTTTTTTCTTTTTTGCTGCCATTATTCCCTGAAATTTTCTTTTTTGGTTGGCTTTTTTTCTGGCTTTTCCCCTTTCTGCTGGCTTGTTTATTTTTGCAGTATTCTTCTTTTCTTTTTTACTATTTTTTGTCTTTTCGTGATAGCTTTTTTTGCTGGCTTTTATTGCAAGCATTTTGCTGTCTTTATTGCCGGCTTTTTTTTTCTTTTTTTGCTGGCTTTTTTTCTTTTTTTCCGTCTTTTGTTTCGTGGCATGTCTGGTGCCTTATGTCTTTTTTGGTGTCTTTTTTATTTTTCATTATTTTGCTGTGCTTTTTCTTTTTTTTTTGCTGGGTTTTTCCATTTCTTGCTGCTTTTTTTCTTTTGTGCAGGCTTTTTTCTTCTTTTCACTCTGGCTATTTTACTAGCTTTTTTGCTGGATTTTTTGCTAACTGTTTTCATTTTTGCTCTCTTTATTTATTTTCTTTGTTGGCTTTTTTCTTTTTTTGCTGGATTTTTCTTTTTTATTGGCTTTATTTTTCTTTTTACTGGCTTTTCTTTTTTGATATCATTTTTGCTGGCTTTTTTCTTTTTGTGGTTTTATTTCTTTTTTGTTGGCTTTTTTCTTTTTGCTGGCCTTTTTTTGCTGCCTTTTTTCACTTTTTGCTTGGTTTTTCATTTTTTTTTTTACTGGTATTTTTCTCCTTTTTTTGCTGGCATTTTTCTCCTTTTTTTGCTGGCATTTTTGCTGGCATGTTTCTCCTTTTTTTGCTGGCATTTTTGCCAGAAAAAAAAAACAAAGGACTGTAAAAGCAAAAACATAGCAAAGACGAAAAAGTAGCAAAAAATAAAATATATTTTTCCGCCAGTACAGTCCTTTGTTTTTTCTTCCTGTTTTTTTTCTTCTTTATTTGCTGGCTTCTTGAAGGCTTTTTTCTCTTTCAGCTGGCTTGTTTCATTTTTTGCTGGCTTTTCTTAGCTTTTTCTGTTTTTCTGTTTTTTACTAGCTTTTTTGCTGGCTGTTTTTTGCTGGCTATTTATTTATTGCTGTTTTTTTTTCTTTTTTGCCGGCTATTTTTCTTTTTTGCTGTCTTTTCTTTCTTTTTTTTTTTTGGTGGCATTTTTCGTAGCGTTTTTGCAGGCTTTTCGGCCAGCTTCATTGATTTTGTTTGTTTTTTTTTTTGGTGGTGGTGGTGGGGGGTTCTGGCTGTTTCCATTTTTTCTGAATTTTTCTTATATGCTGACAATTTTTCTTTTTTTCTGTCGTTTTTCCTTTTTTGCAGCCTGTTTTCTCTTTTTGCTGACTTTTTGATATTTTTTGTTGGATTTATTCCTTTTTTACTGGCTTTTTTTTCATTTTTACTTACATTTTTTGCTGGTGTTTTTCTTTTGATGCCATTTTTGTTATCTTTTTTGCTGGCTTTTTTGCTTTTTCGCTACATTTTTTCAAATCTTTTGCTGTATTTTTCGTTTGTTGCTGGATATTTCATTTTTTTTCTGAATTTTTTCAATTTTTATAATGTTTTTATTTTGCTGACTTTTAGTCTGTTTCCTTACTAGTTTTCTTTTTTGCTGTCTTTTTTCTTCTTTTTTGACGAATTTTCTCATTTTTGCTGGCTTTATTGCCGGCTTCTTTTCTTTTTTTTCTGGTTTTTTTTATTTTTTGGCAGCTTTTTTTGTTAGCTTTATTTCAGCTTCATTGCTTGCGTTTCTGTTTTTCTTGCATGATGATTTTAGCTTTTTTGCAGGTCTCTTCTTTTTTTTGGCTTATGATTTTTGGCTGTTTTTTATTGATTTTTTTTTGTTTTTGCTAGATTATTTTACGTTTTTGTTGGTTTTTCTTTATTTTGCTGTTTTTTCTTTTTTGGAAAAAGAAAGAAAATAGGGAGCAAGTAATATATATATATATATATATATATATATATATATATATATATATGTATGTATGTATATGTATGTATGTATATTATAAATTAACTGATTTAAAATATGTTTTTTTTTTCGCTACACAGTTGTAAAAATAAAAATATCTATAAGAACACGGGATTATATATGTTACTATTCTTTCTTATATATATATATATATATATATATATATATATATATATATATATATATGCATGTATGTATGTATATATACGTATATATATATATATATATATATATATATGTATATATAAATATATATATATATATCTATATATATATGTATCTATCAATATCTATATATATATATATTTATATATATATATATATATATATATATATATATATATATATATATATATATATATATATATATATATATATATATATTTTGTAACTACAAAATTGTTCAAATCGTGTAACAGCGTGGGATAATTATCCATCCATCTACACTAAACATTTTGTCATTTTATGAATATCTTGAAAAGAGGCGTATGGTTAAATGTGCACCCTTCTTTGTGGCCGAGAGATTTAAAGCAGGCTTGGGCAAATGACTATTACTTCTATAAAAGCGGACGCATGTTCGGACCCTGCTGGGGAGAACATTTTGTATATTGTCTCTCAAATGAGCAGGTTAATAAGCGTAACTCACACTGTTAAAAAAAGACTTTTATTCAAACGTGAAATCCACAAAATAACGTTTATAACAGTATGATACATACACACAAACGCACAAATATATATATATATATATATATATATATATATATATATATATATAGCGAGAGAGAGACAGAGAGAGAGAGAGAAAAGACAGACCGAGGGAGACAGAATTTTTTAAAATTCTTACCTACAAATACAAGAAATTCATAAACAAATTTAAACCTGTACTAAATAGATCATAACCCTACGCACATAAACACACAGCATACACACATAATGGCCAAATACACTGGTCAACTACACACACACACATACACAAGTTCCTATGGAGAACGAATATATATGCACATACTCGCAAAAACAAACACAATAGACTACCCACAACCACACACAGAAACCCTACACAACATAGGAAATGTGTCTGTGTATATATATATATACACTAATTCCTTATAATAAAACAGTATATATGTATGGAGAAGAAATATGCATACACATAAATATAAGAATTGATAAATAAATGACATTTGATATTCTGCATGCTCATATCGAGATTTATGTGTCAACATAATTCAGAAATAAAATGATTTTTTCAAAATTTGCATCGATAATTTGATCACATATTAATTACCGTAAATGGGTCACTATGATGTTAGTTACGTTTCATTTGTTATAAAAAACTGTTTTAAAAAAGAATCTTATCAATGTAAACCGGTATGAAAGCTAAATGTTTGGTCAACAAATAGCGAATGTTTCTTGTATGGAAACGTCCACTTTGCCTTTTTCTATTACCATATTCCACCATTAAAACATCTCAGTGAAATCTTTTGGTGGTTTCCCAAATGTTTTAAGCGAAGAAATTATGGTTAAATACTAGAAGTCTCTCTGCCAAAACATTCTAAATATCAAAAGTTTCAGAATATAAAATGTGCTATCATTCGTTGTTCTTTCATTCTGACTTTGTTTATTGCAAAATATCGAAGGTTTACAAGAATGACATTGAGAATTGACGAACATCAAACGATAGTAAATTTTATATTTTTATGAAACATTTGATTGGAAGATACACTTTCTCTAAAATGCAGTAATTTTTTTTCTTCAAATTCTTGCGAATTATTCTTCTTGAAAACAACTGGTCTGTTAAAAAAAGTTTTGCTCGAGACAGATGTAAGAATATGTTGGAATTGTGTATGTGAAAGCTTTACCTTGTGTGTTCACTTCTTTTACAAACTGTTTAACCCAGCCGAAGATTAAAACTAATTCTAGCTAGAACTGGTATATTCTTTGTTAGTCGAAGAGAGAATTCACTTTTAAGTCATTACCATTTACGCTAATGTTTAGCAAATAGAAGAGTTTAAAAACAACAGTGTTTTGCATAAAGTTATTTTTTATAGAAATAATAGACATTCATATAAGGCTACTGTGTAAATATTTAAAAAAACAACGTCATCATTCTTATTATAAAACCCAGGTTGTGTGTGTGTGTGTGCGTGTGTGCGTGTGTGTGTGTGTGCGTGTGTGTGTCTGTACGTTTATATATTGGATCGGATTTCCTACATTTTTCAACCGATTTCAACAAAACTTCACACGACTACGTAAAATTACCTTGCGGTGGTTCTGACAGCGCCAAAAATTGGAAAAACACAATTGTTTTTGCACGAAATCAATTTGAAAACACGATTAAGAGGCATCACGAAAATGAAAGGGGAACAACTCATATCGAATTATACTTATAAAACCCAGGTTGTTTGTGTGTGTGTGTGTGTGTTCCTTTATATATATAGGATCGGACATTTTTCAACCGATTTCAACAAAACTTCACTTTTTTTGGCAGGTAGTGTTTCTTATTGTCTTGCACATTTTTTTCTTTATTTTTACATTCAGAATGCTTTAAAAATTCCATTTACAAGACAATTGTTTATAATAAAATTCTATTCAATCGGTAGACTCATAACGATTGAAAACTTTTTTTTTGAGTTTGGGTTTGACCAATTCGTAAAAAAAAAAGGAAAAAAAAACTAATTAAGACATGCGTGTCCATCAACCTTAAACAATAATCTTTGTCAATTTTATTTTTCAGTCTTTATGATGGTCGATACTTGATCTATCTCTTACTGTTACATCCCCGGGCAACGCCGGGCTCTACTGCTACTCATGAATAAGAACACAGCGATCTGGCGTTAACTTTTCTGTCACAGAAAATGACATAAAACGCAGAAAATTTTTTTTTCTGAGTAATTTATTTCTAAGGTAGCGTAACGGTCATCAGTGCGGAAAGTAGGCTCGGCGACCCGAGTCCAAATTGCGGATGATTCTACTGCATTCAAATTCACAACAATACCCTTGAGAAAGGCATGAATCCACCTGTTCTTCCACCAGCTATGGGTTAAATAGCGCAGTAGACAGGACTCTCTAGTTTAAGATAAAATAATCTCTGAATTCCAAAGCCACGGAAACAGCAACCATATTCTCAGACACTGCATTGTCTTTTCGAAGAACGCTTGGAGATTTACAGATAATAAATAAAAGGAATATGTGGAGAACCGTAATCGCCTAGGACCTGAAGGAACGTGGTATTTAAAGAGATAGAGAGGGGGGATCTAGATGATCAACTACAGACCAATCACATGCGGAAAAGCAATACTGGAAAATGAACAGAAATATACAAATCTATGGATAGCCGAGAACTGTAAACTGGCGAAGTAAAGAAGTCAGAAGAAACAAAGGCCAAAGAATCTACTCTACAGGGACCACATAATTTTGAAAGAAGTAAAATCAAAACGAAAAAGGCTTCCAATGGGATTAGTTAACTAAACAATGACATAAGATATGGTCCTTCATAGCAAAGCACTCAAATGACTTAGAATATTCAAGATTGACAAATCAGTAGTGGAATTTATAGTAGAATTCTGTAAAGTGCAAAGAACCCTTAGATGAATGAGTAAATAACAATCGTAATAATAGATATAGCCATAAGTTCTATGCTAACAGTTTCTGCTGTCGCACTTCTCGCTTGTGGAACTCTCTTTCCGCTTCTTGCTTTGCAGTCAACTTTAATCTTCAAAAATGTAAATGCAATATCAATCATTATCTTCTGTCTTCTTAATTCCTGTCCTTTTATAGTTCTCTCTCCTTAATACGTTGTTTTCTCATATTATCTAACACTGTGAAACCTCTTCTGTTTTAGTGGCTTTATTGCCTTACTTGAGGTGAAATGATTAAAAATTAAAAAGCTGGAAACTTTTTTTTATGTACCAAGTCTTTTAGGACATGGATGACTATGGCTTTCCATATCTCAATGTTTTTTTATTTATTTTTTTTTTATTAATTTTTGACCCATGACCATCCCTCTTTGTTGCTGTTCTAAAAAACTCGTTAAGTAGCTTTCTCGCATCTTTTTCCTGCTACTACTGCCATGGCCTGATAATGTTAAGCATACGTAAGCGTTACAATAATTATATGATAGACAACGATTTCCTTTTAACAAAACGATTTCTCGTTAATCTTATAATAAATACGAATGACATTGTGTCACTGAGTTACACTTTTTCAACTTTACTCCTAGAGGCTGTAACACATATTATACCATTTTAGAATCAGGCCGACTGGGAGAGCAAATTATAAACATTCTGGGCTGGAATCCTGAAATTTTGGATTCCCAAGTTTTCATTACTGCGATTGTTTTCGGCGATTTCTGTGCGATAATAATTTGGAAATAAATTT